TTAAATATTTACATAATATACAGTATATAATACAAATGAAGGGCGACCCAACATTGGATAGCGCTAATTTGTTTAGAATGTCTTTGCTTTAGATTGTAGCCGGCCGAGAGAAATATCAGGACCGGAATTTACATTCAGATGTTTTACTGTTCATGGATAGAAAGATCCTTACTTAAATTACCATTACCTAAATTGTAAATTTCATTATTTCCCAGGTCATCTGCTCTCCCTTGGGGAGAGAATAAAATTATCAATAGCAAAATAATATATTTGAATAGTTTTTAAAGTTCTTATTCTTTGGTGACATGACAAGTATTGTATTTCACTTTGTTTACTTGCTGTTTTCCACATTTTGTACATTTTAACAATGAAATTGAGGTACTGGTACCTATAATATAACTCAGGTGACCGCAAAGGCCTTTGGGCCTCCTGTTTCATTTGCTCATTGCCATATAGCATTCCTTGTCAGAACAGTTTTTTGACGACAGATAAATTATCTGTTAACACAAAAAAACAACGTCATTGTAGAGAGAGAGAAAAGAATCAGAATATTCTTGGTTTGTTGAAAAATGACACATTTGTATACATTGCACTCGTTGGTTTGAATATTTATAAAATATTAAAATGTTCAACCTATGAGTGAAATGTAAACAAGAAACTACGAATAGCCTGTCCCACTGCACTGCTGTTTTATGTACAGTAACCTCCCTTTAACTTCTGTTAGGATATATCTGTAGAACTATATTGAGCCAGGACACTTCCGGTGACCAGGTAGAGCGATAGTATAACAAAATGAAGTCGAGTTTTCGAATCCCGGTCTGGCCCTGTTGAACGTGTCACTCAAAACAATCCGCGTAAGGTTTTCTTTTCAGAAAGGATTTATCAAAACTGTAGTCATGCCGGTAAAATCTTTATTATTTCTCATAAAATTCCTGCAAGGTAAGATTTTTCTCCTCGAAAAAAAGGTTATCAAAGTCGAATTCATTGCAAACTTTACTTTAAAAGTTGTTTCTCTATATGTACATGTACCAGTCTGTCGTGGTCATTATTTATCGAAACTCTAATTTCAATAAATTATCAAACTTAATCAAGACGACAGATAAAAATAAAAACAAACAAAAACTGAAAATTAGCTACCTTGGATTAGATCAACATGATTATCAAAAATGAAGAAATGAAAAACACAAATTAATTCTTGTTCATGATTAAATATAAATACTATTTATATTACAACAATCTGAAATAGGTTGATCTGGTAGCGGGTATGGGGTCCAAGTGTAAGAGGGAACCTGAGTACCCAGAGAAATTCCATTTGGCCGGGCAGGTGACTCTATACCTTTTTACATCCGATCAGGGAATCGAACCCCGGCCGCCGTAATGAAAGACAAATGCATTATCCACTGCGCCATTCTATGCACGTGATCATGTTTAGCCAAGAAAACTGCATTTTTGCCCTGTTTCCTCTATTTTATAGATGACAACATTTACTCATCTCCACGTAATGAATGACAGATTAAAACGGACGAATTAAAGCACTACAAACGTTATTTTACGGCTGAACAAACTATCAAGTCGATGTCAAAGGTCATAGTGTATTGATCAATTCAAATGCTTTCAGTATTTTCACACGTCGTGTTAAACAAGTTATGTTCATGGTTTATGTCCTATGTTTCAGGTAACAAACAACCATAACACCTCATGATCCTCCTCCCCTACCAACTCCTTAGGCCAAACAACACAACCCCTTCTTATCCACTCCAAAACCCTCTCCCTTAGGCCAAACAACAACACCCGTCCTGATCCCCATCCGCTACCCTCTCACTTAGGCCAAACAACAACAACCCTCCCCTACCGACTCCTTAACCCAAACAACTACACCCCTCCCCTACCCACTCCTTAGGCCAAACAACAACACCCCTCCCATACCAACTCACTTAGGCCAAACAACAGCACCCCTCTCCCCTACTAACCTCTTAGGTCAAATAACAACACCCCCTCCCCTAACCACTTCCTTAGGCCAAACCACAACCACCCTCCCCTAGCAGCTCCCTTAGGCCAAACAACAATACCCCTCCTCTACCCACTCCTTAGGCCAAACAATAACACACCTCCTGAACCCCCTCCCCTTTCCTTTGGGCAAAAAAACAACACCTTCTCCCCTACCCACTTTTTAGGCCAAACGACAACACCCCCTCCCCAACCAGCAATCTTAGGCCAAACAACAACACCCCTCCGGATCCCCCTCCCCTACCAACTCCCTAAGACCAAACAACAACACCCCTCCTTTACCCACTCCTTTAGACCAAACAACATACCTCTCCCTTACCCACTCATTAGGCCAAACAACAACACCCCCTCCCCCACTCTCAATCTTTGGCCAAACAACAACCCCCCTCCAGATCCCCCTCCCCTACCCACTCCCTTAGACCAAACAACATCAACCCCTCCCCAACTCTCAATCTTAGGCCAAACAACAACACCCCTCCGGATCCCCCTCCCCTACCTACTCCCTAAGACCAAACAACAACACCCCTCCTTGACCCACTCCTTTAGACCAAACAACATCCCTCTCCCTTACCCACTCATTAGGCCAAACAACAACACCCCCTCCCCAACTCTCAATCTTTGGCCAAACAACAACCCCCCTCCAGATCCCCCTCCCCTACCCACTCCCTTAGACCAAACAACATCAACCCCTCCCCAACTCTCAATCTTAGGCCAAACAATAACACACCTCCTGAACCCCCTCCTCTTTCCCTTAGGCAAAAAAACAACACCACCTCCCCTACCAACTCCTTAGGCCAAACAACAACACCCACTCCCCAACTCTCAATCTTTGGCCAAACAACAACACCCCTCCAGATCCCTCTCCACTACCCACTCCCTTAGACCAAACAACATCAACCCCTCCCCAACTCTCAATCTTAGGCCAAACAATAACACACCTCCTGAACCCCCGCCCATTTCCCTTAGGCCAAACAACAACATCCCCTTCCCAGCCCGCAATCTTAGGCCAAACAACAACACCCCTCCGGATCCCCCCCCCCTACCAACTCCCTAAGACCAAACAACAACACCCCTCCTTTACCCACTCCTTTAGACCACACAACATCCCTCTCCCTTACCCACTCATTAGGCCAAACAACAACACCCCCTCCCCCACTCTCAATCTTTGGCCAAACAACAACCCCCCTCCAGATCCCCCTCCCCTACCCACTCCCTTAGACCAAACAACATCAACCCCTCCCCAACTCTCAATCTTAGGCCAAACAATAACACACCTCCTGAACCCCCTCCCATTTCCCTTAGGCCAAACAACAACATCCCCTTCCCAACCCGCAATCTTAGGCCAAACAACAACACCCCTCCGGATCCCCCTCCCCTACCACTCCCTAAGACCAAACACCCCTCCTTTACCCACCCTTTAGACCAAACAGCATCCCTCTCCCTTACCCACTCCTTAGGCCAAAGAACAACACCCCTCCTCATCCCCCTCCCCTACCCACTCCTTTAGGCCAAACAACAACACCCCTCCCATACCAACTCACTTAGGCTTAACAACAACACCCCTCTCCCCTACTAACTCCTTAGGCCTCCCCTACCCACTTCCTTAGGTCAAACAACAACACCCCTCCCCTACCAGCTCCCTTAGGCCAAACAACAATACCCCTCCCCTACCCACTCATTAGGCCAAACAACAATACCCCCTTCCCTACCCACTCCTTGGCCCAAACAACAACACCCCCTCCCCTACCCTCTCCCTTAGGATAAACAACAACACCCCTCCTGATCCCCTTTCCCTACACTCTCCCTTAGGCCAAACGACATCACCCCCTCCCCTTCCCACTCCCTTATGCCAAACACGACACCCCTCCGGATCCCCTCCCCTCTCCCTTAGGCCTTACAACAACACCCCCTCCCCTTCCCACTCCCTTAGGCCAAACAACAACAACACCCTCTCCCCAACCCTTTCCCTTCGGCTAAACAGCAACACCCTCTCCCCTACCCTCTCCCTTAGGCCAAATAACAACACTTATTATAATTCCCTTCCACAACAACCACTAATTCGGTTGTCTAACCATCCAGCCACTGCCAACCCGGTTATCCTACAATTTAACAGCCGCCAATCCGGTTGTCCTACAATCCAACTGCCGCCAATACGGTTGTCCCACCATTCAACAACCACCAATCGGGTGGTTCCACCATCCAGCTACCGCCAATCCGGGTCTCCCATCATCCAGTTACCACCAATCATGTTGTCCAACCATCCAGCCACCGCAAATAAGATTGTCCAACCATCCAACCATCGTTAATCTGGTGGTCCCAATCTGGTGGTCCCACCATCAAGCCAACAACCATCCGATTGTCCATCTATACTATTACATGTACCACAAGGCTGGTCACCAATACGGTTGTCCCGCCATCAAGCCACCAACATCAATCTAGTTGTCCCATCCTCAAATCATCACCAACCTGGTTGTTCTTACTGCTTCATGTACCGTCAATCCGGTTGTCTTCCCCTCATGCCATAACCATTCGGCTGTCCCTCCATCCAGTCACAGTCAATATTGTTGTCCTACTTTCCAGTTACAATCGATTCGGTTGTGTTACTACCCCTTCTTGTCAATCTAGTTGTCCCATCATCCAGCCCCCACCAACCCGGTCGTCCCACTACCCTACCTCACCAATATGTTCGTGCCATCATCAAGCCACTGCCTATTCGATTATCCAGCCCCCACCAACAAACAGGTCGTCCCACTACCCTACCTCACCAATATGTTCGTGCCATCATCAAGCCACTGCCTATTCGATTATCCAGCCACCAACAAACAGGTTGTTCCACCACCAATTAAGCCACAACCAATATGAATGTTCCACCATGCGGTCACCCGGTCACCACCAATCCGGTTTTCCCACCATCCCGTTTCTACCACTTCGGCTCTCATAAACTGCCGTCTGCTTAGGAAATATTGAGGAGACAAAATATTCTTTCCCCAATGCAATTTTTAATATCTTTATTTTTTATTTCATCTTTTTCCTATTCTTTCGTTCTTGCGTTTTGTCCCTAAACATCCGTCTTTATATGAACGAAGCTGTTGCTAGGACGTTGAACCATATATATACAAACAGTCATATCCGTATTATCACCATGAATGCGGTTGTCCAACCATACTAACACCACCAATCTTGTGACGGAAACAAGACAAACCGTTTTAAACAGAATCTTTTACGATTTGGAGTGTGTGGTGACAATCATGTGAAGATACCATATCGAAAAATTGGGAAAACCGTGTGAATGTTTTTGCGATAGCTAAAGACCTTTCCTTTCCTCTAACATATTTAAAATTCATAATGCAATAAAAAATGTGGGAAAAGTAGACAATTCAAATGACAAATCTGTTTATAACTTTATCGAAGACAAAACCAAAAAAATGGCAAATCATATTTTAATTTCCATAGTTAAATAGTTAAGTATTAATGTATTTATCCCACTTATAACATTTCAATTAATCGATACTTTCCTTTACAAGAAAACATCAGAGGGGCTTTATTGTAAAGCAATCTCTGAAAAGAATTTGGAATTCCATTTGCAGTTCAAATATCATAATCTTCAAAATGAAAATCGACACAGCATCATTTATTTGCCAATAATACATCGTAGGGCCTTTGTTGACTTTTGATATAACATCATTATAAAATCGTTAAAGCATACATTATGAAATGTTAACACTTACACTGGAACCAGTAGATTCCCATATGGCTATTTTCAATCACGTAAAATCTAATTGAACATGAAATTCTTCAGACAAACAGTCTGTGCATAATCAATTTATTTTGTGCATAACACTAGTTTATTAACATTCTTTGAAATATATATAATATACAAAATATGTGACCTATTTCGTCAAATATATAAACGATTATTGACAAAATAATATTATTCGACCAGTTCATGTTTGTTAACACAACACTGCAAACACACAAACTAATTTAAATTAAGTTAGAACGATTGAGATTTAACAAAAAAGGTACTACCAGTCAACGAGTATGTAGGAACAGTCAACAATTAATTATCTTAGAATGTCGACAAGTAACTGTTAGTATGTTTGACAATGAAGTATTTTAGAGTAGTTGATAATTGACTGTTACCAATGGTTGACAATTCAGTATTTTAATTTGGATGACGATTAATCAAAAGTTTTGGTTGTCAATAAAGCATTATTAAATGTTAGCAAAATATTCTGATTGAAAAGTTGACAATTGAGTAGTTTAGAATGTTAACAATTAAATGTTGGTATAGTTGACAATTGAGTATTTTAGAATGTTGACAATTAACTGTTGGTATGGTTGATAACTGAGTATTTTAGAATGTTGATAATTAACTGTTGGTATGATTGATAACTGAGAATTTTAGAATGTTGACAATTAACTGTTGGTATGGTTGACAATTAAGTATTTTAGAATGTTGACAATTAACTGTTGGTATGGTTGATAACTGAGTATTTTAGAATATTGACAATTAACTGTTGGTATGGTTGACAATTGAGCATTTTAGAATGTTGACAATTAACTGTTGGTATCGTTGTTAACTGAGTATTTTAGAATGTTGACAATTAACTGTTGGTATGGTTGACAATTGAGCATATTAAAAAGTTGATAATTAACTGTTGGTATGGTTTATAATGGAGTATTTTAGAATGTTGACAATTAACTGTTGGTATGGTTGACAACTGAGTATTTTAGAATGTTGACAATTAACTGTTGGTATTGTTGATAATTCAGTATTAAAGTAATTTAGAATGTTTACAATTAACTGTGCGTAATTATTGACAATCTGTATTTTGAATGTTGACAATTATCTGCTTGTATGTTTGATAATTAAATATTTTAGAATAGTTGACAAATAAATGTTAGTATGGTTGATCATTAGGTATTTTAGAAAGGATGATAATTATCCATTAGTAATGATTGACAATCGGTTTGTGTTGAGTGTTGACAATTACCTGCTAGTTTATTTAGGGTTAGGTATTTCAGAATGGTTGATAATTGCTGGTACTATTGTGGACAATTTAGTATTTTAGAATATTGTCATTTAACTGCTAGAATGGTTGGCATTTAAGTATTTTAGGACAGATGATAATCAACTGTTAGGATTTTTGACAATTAAGTTTAAAGAGTGTTGACAATAAACCGTTAGTATGTTTGACAATTAAGTATTTTAGAAAATTTGCGAATTAAGAAAGAGTATTTAAAAATGTTGGAAATTCACTATGTGTATGAATGACAATTATGTACTTAAGAAATGATGATAATGAACTTTTAACAATGTTTGACCATTAAGAATATTTTAGACTGGTTGACAATTAACTGTTAGTATGGTTGACAATTGACTATTGTTTTATATCATTGTATATTTTAGAATGTTGAAGATTAACTGCTGGTCTGTTTAACAGTAGTATGTTTGACAAATTTCAGGTATTTCAGAAAGGATTATTTTAAAGTTAGCATAGTTGTCAATGAAGTACATGTATCTTAGAATCTTGATAATTCACTGTAGGTATGGTTTACAATTAAGTTCTTTGAAAAGGTTGATACATTACTATTAGCAATGGTTGACAATGAAGTATTTGAGAATGATTACAATTTACTGGAAGTAATGTTGAAAATTAATATTTTAGAATGTTGACAATAAACTGTTAGTATGTTTGACATTTAGGTATGATAGTATGGTTGTCAAGCAGATAGTTTAGTTGAAAGTCAAGTATAACAAAAACAAAAACAAATGACATTTAACTGTTGGTATGGTTAACAATTAATTGGTTTAGAATGTTGACAATTAAGTATGTTTACGTGGTTGAAAATTAAGTATAAAACAGCAACTAAACGTTAGGCATGTTAGCATGATAGAAAGTTTGATAACTAAGTGTTGGAATGGATGACAAATAAGTGTGCAAGACGTTGGAAATTTACAGTAAATATATAAGAATGGTCGACAACTAAGTTCGTTAGAAAGGATGACAATTTTGAATATTAAAAGGGTTGACAAAAAATGTATTTTAAAAAGATTGACAGACAAGTATGTTAGAATATGGATGACTTGCATTAAGTTTATTAGGCTGTTGACAGTAGGTGTGTTACACTGTTGACAACTAAGTATATATTAAAGGGTAATCAATGGTTAAGAGGTGACATCACATTGGTAATTACACCCTTTAGAATCAGACTCAATGGACGTCCTGCTCGATATTCTAGGCAACTCCTGTTTTCCAGTAAGATATTTTCATACCAACTGATACACTGATTTCATTATAATTGAGTATGTGAGCTTACTCCATTAAACTGTGTTTGAGCAATTATCCTGATATCAGCATTGCATGTACAATGTACATAAAAAGACCGAAATACTCAGAAGTGTCAACAAAACCAGTCTTCGAACTAAAAATCGATAAAATTAGGACAAAAATATAAACAAGGCAAAGTACAAGGAGAGTAAACTCGGGGTTGCAAATGGTATGTGTTGTCTGTTTCAATTTTCTTTTCTGCAAGACTTTGTAAATGTATCGGACCATTATATTCAAAACCACAAGTTTATCACATCGAGAATGATAGAACAACACAGCGCAAAGACAAATTATACATATTAAATGCCACGAGGAATGTAGAGACTAAAATCCCGATTTTCACTATCCGAACGAGTATGCAACAGGTTCCAAGGTCCAGTATTTTATTCATATCTTTATCGATATAGCTTTCAACTCAATTAATTTTGCGAACGGTATCTAAGAAACGGAATTACGAAAACAATAAACGAAATATATCTTTAATTTTTTAGCTGAAGGGCGCCATGAAAATATGCTTGGGGTGATTTTATACTTTAATGAGATCCGGAAATTTTTGGATAAACCTCAACGCCCACCTACTTTTAGAGGTGATCCGATCAAAGCCCACGGAACCCCTCTTTTTCACTGGAAAAATCATGTCATATTTTTCTTTGCAGACTCTATTGTTTAATTATCATTTCCTTTGCATGTACTTTTTAATTTATGCGATGTTTTTTGACATAAAAACAATATTTCTGTCTCAATACAATTATACAAATTTTCAGAAAAGGTAATTATGTTGACAACCATAAGCAAAATTTGACGACCTTGCATTCACTGTATTTATATATCTCAACGTGACCTTGACCCTTGATTTGACCTCATCTGTAAATTTGTCCTTTGTAACTTTCCACGAGTGCACTTACAAGCAGCTATCACCTGGTTCCGGAACAGTTGACTGACAAAACAGTAGACAACCGGATTTAACACGCTGTTCAGGAAATACGAACGAAGTAATAAATTGTAAATAGATTTACCAACATTTGACAGGTTTACTATCTCTTCTCTGTGAGTTGCTCTTAAAATAACCACGACACAATAGGGTAAAAATGATATGGCGAACACAACCGTTACTAAAAAGAGCATCATTGTTGTCTTCCCTGCATGAAGAGCACCTGAAGCATTTGAATGTCCGCTTGCCTTCGAGAGTTGTCTACGGACTATTTCTGATCGAAGGGTCTTGGGTTTCCCTGAAGGTCGTTCTGAAGCTTTGGCAATTGTCAATTTTGAGCGACTGGCATTGTTTGCAATTTTGTTCCAAACGACGAATGAGAAATTCCTTGACCTCATTTCTGTTGGTTTCCCATCTAGTTCGTCCATTGTACAACTCGCCGCCGATATTTCAGGCGCTACATATCTATTTCCGCATTTTAACGATTTCCTGTTCTTTCTTTGTCTGATTATCGCTTTGCCCACTTGGATATACAACACTAGGAACAGAATATCACCAGCAAAATGGCAGGTAAATAGAAATCCAACAAGTAGGAGCGGGTAGAACGTCTTTATCCACCGTTCTTCGATTTCACAAGTTTTTCCAATGAGGACAACATTTTTGAATTTCTTTAGCGTGAGGTCATGTGTACCATAGAGTACAAATAACGGCCAAGATGTAGCCAAAGCGATCACTACAGCAAACAAGACGATTTTTTTGGCTGTCTTGATGTCAATCAGTTCCTCCAAGGGACGACAAATCCTTTTAAATCTATCAACAGCGATTGCTGATAAAACAATCGTCGTCGAGTTGTTACAAAATGACGTCACGAACCTGGTAACTTTACAAACATAAGGGAAGTCAAACTTGAAGAAATGCGTAAGAAGATAAAGTTCGGTTGCCATTGACGACATGCAGTTTGTTAGATCTATGGCTGCAAGAGCCATTATGAAAATCCTGGACGTTGTATGGTTCCATTTGAAACCATACACATACAACACCAATACGTTGCCTGGCAACCCGATAGCCAATAATATACACACATACACTAGTGACGACAACAACACGTCATCAAAGTACTTATTGTTTGCGAGGTCAAGCAACGGCCCGGATGTAATAAAGGTCAAAGCTGTATCATTTCCTCCCAAGGTCACGTTTAGTGTTGAGAAATTTAAAGATGGTTCGGTGTATTGTGACATTACTGGCGTAGTGGCAATTCCGGTTGTAACGGAGGTGAATTCCTCTGCCATGCTGCAGATTGAATTTGACCTGAAATATGAAAAAATAACGTCAACCTTATGATTGATAGATAATTCTTTTATATACCTTGTAGACCCAAACAGTTTCAATATACAATTAAAAAATTAAGTCAATTTCGAAACGAAATCAACATGAACAGGTTAAATTATAATTTGATTTGCAGCTATTTAGCAAATTGTCATATAAAACATACTGCAAGATTATTCATGACGATTACACATAATTTATATAACAAAATAAGCAAGACGTCTGTAACATCTAAACAACTGTTAACATAACTACAGTGTATAAGTTTGCACCAAAGAGATACCAAGAAACACATGTTAAAGAAAAGGAATGACATAAACCAAATACGTATACACAAAAACACAATTAGGGTTCAAACAGGTAATAGTGTCATCAGTGAATATGGTATATAACCATAAAGTCAACATATTTATAAAATCATGCATTCTGTATAGATCTATAAGTATACAGTTTATATAGATCTATGAGTATACCATTTATATAGATCTATAAGAAGTATACCGTTTATATAGATCTATAAGAAGTATACCGTTTATATAGATCTATGAGCATACCGTTTATATAGATTGATAAGTATACCGTCTATATAGATCTATAAGTATACCGTTTATAAAGATATTTAATAGTACAGTCTGAGTAGATATGAAATCAAACATACAATATAAATATATAGCCATAGAATCTATATAGATATGAACTCATACAGTCTATATAGATATGTAATCATACAATCTATATAGATATGTAATCATACAATCTATATAGAAATGAAATCATACAATCTATATAAATATATGTGTGTGTAGTCATACAATCTATATAGATATGTAATCATACAATCTATATAGATATGTGTGTGTAGTCATTCAATCTATATAGATATGAAATCATACAATCTATATAGATATGTAATCATACAATCTATATAGATATGTGTGTGTAGTCATACAATCTATATAGATATGAAATCATACAATCTATATAGATATGTTATCATATTATCTATATAGATGTGTAATCATACAGTCTATATAGATATGTAATCATACAGTCTTAAACGAGTTTAATCATTTTAATAAGATATTGACACGAATAGAAGATTATATTTGTCACATAACATTCATAACTTGAAAAAAAAGCTACACAGTTATGTGTTATCATCTGACTCATTCTAAGTCAAAACCAAAGTACTCCGATCATAATATTGTCGTTCACGCATTGAAAGTAGTTCTATTTATTTAATAAGGAACCGTTTTAAATACATTGATAATAATAATGACATCATAAACATTTTAAATGTATCGTGTTGTTTATTTAAGAAAAGTAGTACTTGTAGTGGCGTAGGGATATGTTCAAACGATTTTGTCCAATCGCAGCAACTTTAGGTTTTATCACACATGTGTAATGCCATATTTATGACATGGCCGTATGGCATTGTAAACTGGGTCAGTTATTTGATAAAAATATGTAATCATACAGTATGTATTGATATGTAGCCTAACCTATATAGATTTGAAATCATACAGTCTGTATAGATATGTAACCTAATTACCTATATAGATTTGTAATCATACTGACTATATAGATATGTAACCTAACCTATATAGATTTGTAACCATACAGTCTATATAGATATGTAATCTAACCTATATAGATTTGTAATCATACTGTCTATATAGATATGTAACATAACCTATATAGATTTGTAATCAGACAGTCTATATAGATATGTAACCTAACCTATATATATTTGTAATCATACTGTCGATATAGATATGTAACCTAACCTATATATATTTGTAATCATACTGTCGATATAGATATGTAACCTAACCTATCTAGATTTGTAATCATACAGTCTATATAGATATGTACCCTACCCTATATATATTTGTAATCATAGTGTCTATATAGATATGTAACCTAACCTATATAGATTTGTAATCATACAGTCTGTATATATATGTAACCTAACCTATATAGATTTGTAATCATACTGTCTATACAAATATGTAACCTAACCTATATAGATTTGTAATCATACAGTCTATATAGATATGTAACCTACCCTATATATATTTGTAATCATACTGTCTATATAGATATGTAACCTAACCTATATATATTTGTAATCATACTGTCTATATAGATATTTAATCATTCAGTCTATCTAGAAATGCAATCAGAAAGTCATTATAAATATGTCACCATACAGTCCATATAGATTTGTAATTAATGTATATAAATATGTAATTAATGTGTATAGATATGTAATTAATGTATATAAATATGTTTTTAATGTATATAGATATGTTATTAATGTATATAGATATGTTATTAATGTATATAGATATGTAATTAATGTGTATATATATAGGTAATTAATGATAAAAAGTGATTAAATGTCCATGTGAAGGAAGTAAATATAGAAAAAATAAAATTAACGACCGACTAAAAAACTAGCTGCTTTCACCCTTCACAGGGCTCTTCAGGTTTATTCAAAAGAGAACAACGTCGTGACGTCACAATTACATGTCATCACACTACAATAGTAACGTGACGTGTAATTAATGTATATAGATACGAAGTGTATGTTATTAATGTATATAGATATGTTATTATTGTACATAGATATGTAATTAATGTATATAAATATGTAATTAATGTAAATAGATATGTTATTATTGTATATAGATATGTTATTAATGTATATAGATATGTTATTAATGTATATAGATATGTAATTAATGTATATAAATATGTTATTATTGTACATAGATATGTAATTAATGTATATTAGATATGTAACCTAATTACCTATATAGATTTGTAATCATACAGACTGTATAGATATGTAACCTAACCTTTAGATTTGTAACATACAATCTATATAGATATGTAATCATACAATCTATATAGATATGTAACCTAACCTATATATATTTGTAATCATACTGTCTATATAGATATTTAATCATTCAGTCTATCTAGAAATGCAATCAGAAAGTCATTATAAATATGTCACCATACAGTCCATATAGATTTGTAATTAATGTATATAAATATGTAATTAATGTAAATAGATATGTTATTATTGTATATAGATATGTAATTAATGTATATAAATATGTAATTAATGTGTATATATATGTAATTAATGTATATAGATACGAAGTGTTTGTTATTAATGTATATAGATATGTAATTAATGTATATAGTTTAAACTTTATTCTATTATCGGTATAATATTCAAGTAATGCAAGCATGATATACATATAGGATTCGAAAACAAGTACAAAGTACTTATGTTAATCCGTCTCCTTTTTTGTAAAACGGCAATCGGACGGCACTGACGAATATTGTGCATATAGATATACAGTAAGTATGTGGAAGAGAAAGGATGGGGGAGGGAGGAGGGAAAGAGGTGCAAAACGGTTTAAAGAAAGTGTTGTTGAAGGTAAAATGTATCGGGGAGTACATTGCATTACTGCATTATGGGAGGAAAAACTGGTTGGAGTTTATTTTTTGGATATGGGCACATGTCGAGCCTGTAGATGTCACTGTATTCAACACACAATAAATTAATTGCATATAATGAAAACTTTCCAATCCGACCCCTGATTATTCCGGCATCCAGTGGTGAACAGCAACCTGGTGTAATTTAAAATATTAAAAGTATCATCAGACAAGACTATGATGGTTTGTATATATATATCCATACTGACGTGTTTTGACATACAGGGGCCGTACCAGTGAGTTCAAACTTAAAATCGTTTCCACTAGTTGATGAAATGTTGGATACAGTCGAAAAATTCTCATTATATTTAACTGACGTATCATGATTTCCGTACAGAAGAAGATTTACATTATAGTCGGGAGGAATGCTTCTGAAGCATATTATTACAAGTACACATGGGACTATCAACTAGATTTCGTCTATATAAATGACTAAAGAGAGGATTACAGTTCATCCTTAATCGTTCATGATCGATTTGGCCGAATCTACTTTTGCAGTAGTAATAATAAGGCGGAACAAGATGAATTTCAGCATTCAAGAACTTCTTAAAATTAGTAATCGACGGGTAAAGCTTTATGTTATCGGGAAGTGCATAGTGGAGGGTAAGAAATAATCCTTGTGAAGCTGGGTTCTAGGGTTTATTTGGCAGTAATTATTTGCGTTTCTAGTATTATAAGAGTGCAAGTCAGAATGACGAGCAGGAAGCATCTTAGTTAGATAGGAGGGACACTGACCATGGACAATCTTATGGAATTGTATGATTTTATGTTTTCTTCTTCGAACAGAAAGAAGATCCCAGCCAGATTCTAAAAAATCGGTCATGACTAGTATATTTTGTGAGCTGTATATTTTCGAAAAATTGACTTTGTCCAATCGTTATATTGTCCCATATTACATCACCATGTTCTGAAAGGGGTCGTAGAAAAGTAAAATACATTTTTTGTAAAGTCATTCTGTCAATATTGAATTTGCATTTCCTAAGCATACCAAGTTTCTTGGGTGTTTTGATGATTACATATTGCACCTGGTCGGTCCACCCTCCGCTAGCTGAGATAAAGACGCCTAGGTGTTTATGGCAGGGGACTTATGTTAAGGGGATGTAAGTCATAAATAAGGATGGATGAGTTGGTTTATTATTTTTCTTACTTACAATCATTGTCACTGTGTTGTTAGGGTTAAAGTTAAAATGCCCTTTTTTAGACCAATCATGGATTGTATTTATATTGTAGTTCAAAAGGATGGCAATAAGATCCGGCAAGTCCACTACAACGTTATGTATATATATGTACTCATACAGTATATATAGGTATATGTTATTATGCAATATAAATGTTTATGTTACCGTCTATATATAGACATACATTTATTATCGTTCAGTTTTCATAGATTATTTGTAGCATTTCCAACGGGAAAATACCCATTAATCATTGGTCTGGCCTGTCACGTGATGGTCATTAATTTAAACCTTATGACATCACAATTAAATGGCGCCTATGCCAATTGCATCTAGAGGATGTTAAAATAAAGGATGTTTCGTGAAATAAAACAGGTGAGCAGATCTGTGCTACAGTCTTTGACACAATAAAATCGTTATATATTCATAACTGATCGTCTGTTGTTCTATTAAGGTTAAAAAATGGCTGTGTAACTAATAATGTAATCTTTCAGTTCCCATAGATTATATGAAAATTGCAATCCAAATTAAGGATATGTGTTCGGTTACGCTAAATGATATGTAACGACTGAGACCAGCTTGTCTGTCTGTCTGTATGTAACGGATGAAACCTGCTGTGTCTGTCTGTCTGTCTGTGACGGCTGAGACCTGCTGTGTCTGTCTGTCTGTGACGGCTGAGACCCGCTCTGTCTGTCTGTCTGTCTGTAACGGCTGAGACCTGCTGTGTCTGTCTGTCTGTAACGGCTGAGACCTGCTGTGTCTGTCTGTCTGTCTGTAACGGATGAGACCTGCTCTGTCTGTCTGTCTGTCTGTAACGGCTGAGACCTGCTGTGCAGGTAGGAACGAATTCCACACCGAATTTATAAGCATTGATTTAAAATAATTGTAAAGACATTTTTTAGCCTAACTCATTATACAAAATGTAACCGATTTTGAGAATGATACATTTCTGTGCCTTACGAAATAATTTGTGTGCATGCAAAATTGAAAAAAAAACAAAAAATCAGTTGGAAAGATATCTCTCGGAATTTGTCATTGCTTTTAAAAAAAAGGCTGATTCGTTCAGATTTATTACACAATGTTAACCCTTTTACGGGTACAGATAAAAAAAAAATGCCACTTACCTTATGTTATTTTATGTATCACCAATAACCTTATCTTCTATCTGTCTGTCTGATAATGTTTGTAAACCACTGATAGGCGTCCATACATCGGAATTTTACAGCATTACTGACATTGCAATGTGTACCATGTTTACTTGTCAGCCTATATAGCGTCGTGTTAAAGTACCCAAAGTATCATAAGGTTTTAGCAATCGTCCCTTTGTTGTCGCTTCAAGGAAACTTATTTAAGCCTCTATGTGTTAAAACTCGTACGACCGACACTTGGGTATCCGGTATCCGGCAGTTGCCCCTAACCAAGTGTATAATTTGTCCGTCTCACGCATTACCTGTTTATTGCATCTTTCTTAAAAGATTTCAACTTTATACTGCTGATAAATACTTTCAATAGTGTTTGTTTTGTTGTTAGTTAATATAAACTTATTTTACAACATCTATTAATCAAGTTATATCAACTTTGTTAATCACTCTTGTTTGCCTGGATGTTAGCGCGCAAGGAGTCTTAATGTAGAAGCAATCAAAAGGACCCGGAGAAAAACCCACGTGACCCAATTCTAATTCACGTCCGATCGGTGAATCGGACCCAAGCCTTCTAAGTAAAAGATGAGTGCGCTGTCGACTTCGCCTTTCTACCAGTATTTGCGTCGATTTAGATGGGTTTCTCATTTGGAAAAGAAACACGCAGATAACTTTACCAAAATCGTAATTTGAACTCATAATAAAGGAATCATTGCAAAATATTAGCAAAGGTAAAGTTTTCAATGAAACTTTCACAAATAAAACGAGAAAACGACCAAGTGTTCCGAATGAATAAGCGTCTTTAAACTTCCTATAACGTCAAAATTCCCGTTAGTGTTTTGGCTCTAGTATGATCACCTGAGTATTCGGTCGTTTAAGATGACCTTCAATGCATGCACATTTCTTGACCCCGAACGAGGTCACGCTTTTCTAACGTCAAAATGTTTCAGGAAAAATCAGGCTGTCATATTGCATGGTGTTTGTTTGTTTGGAGTTTGACGCCCTCGTAGCGTTGGTTTGGTTTGTTTGTGTTTGACGATCTATTAACAGCTATGGTAATTTAAGGACGTGCCAGGTTTTTGGTGGGTGCACGTGGTGGTGGTGGCGGTAGTGGTGGAAAGCCGGAGTCACCGGAGGAAAACCACCGACCTACGACCAGTACCTGGCGACTCAGTGGTGGAGGGCTAGTAATAGCAGAATGTCAGTCAGACGCCTTAACCACTTAACCACTTAACAGTAGCCGAAGCTGTAAGGGTTATTTTACAGAGTTAAACGGATACTTTGTAATTGTTGATATTGTTCTATTTATTTCTATTTATGTACTTGAACCACTTAACTAGGAATGTTTAAGCCTAACGCCACCACCTTTTGTTCAATAGGAAACATTGTTTAACATCGTAAGAAATATTGCATTATAACTGTACTATGGGAGAGGTCATAAGTATAATTTTACACTTGGTATTTCTTCTGAAAACGCTCGATATGGACCTAAAGCACTTTTTCGATAGTTTTAATATAGTTATCCTGTAACGCAAGCTGAACTGTACCAGTGAATATTTGTAACTACTGTTTCGCTATTTGAACGCTGATTTTCAATGTGTAAATAGTAAAATTGATTAGAGAAATTAATTTCCAATGCAAGGTGAATTGTGCGAGAAAATATTCAATAATTGATCCGACATTCAAACATTGATTTGCTAGGTTAAAATTAATAAAGAAGAAATAAAAACGGGGAAAACAACAACGACAGTGGTCTTTGTGTTGTGTACAAATATTACAGGACTAAACCAGGATTCGAACCATTGAACCAAGGTCATTGTACTGTCGCTCTAACCAACTGCTACAGGTATACAAAAACAAATTAGGGGAAACTTAACGTATATACAAAATATATATACCGTAGAACAGAAGAATTATCGTATGTCTTGCCTGCAGATAATTTGTCATACAATTTTCTTAAAATTTCAAGTCATTCTTTTCGCCAGTATTCCAAAGCCGCTATTCCGATATATATGTAGACCCTGTGTATATTTGCAAAACATATTAGAGACTGGAATTTGAAGGGCATGCTATCACCCGTTATTATTTTATTTTCTCAGGTCTGATTTTGTCACCGAGGTTTCATACCTTGACACATGAATATCATTTTATTTTTACATAAAATAATATCAGCCTAGCACATGTGTGCAAACATATTTAACAGGATATGGTTTCCGAAGGGTGACCACGTTATTATAGTGGAGATTTTAACAAAATGCATACATGTCTTAGTGATACCTTTATTACGGGGCCACATTAATTTATACAGAGAATATTAAAACTATAAACTGCGTTTTTGATAGATATACACTACAGACTAGCGTTCAAGAATTGATTTGATGTTGACTCGAAATGGACAGGAAATTGGAAATACGTATGAGAAATGATGTATGGACCAACCTTATCAATTCACTCTAAACCGGAATTTGACGGACGTCACAGATCAACAACAAGTACACGAATATACGTACTAAAATTATTAAGGATTGGAGCTTCAATACATTATTTTCATGAAGTAATAAAACATGTAATGTAACAGTTGCGTTCAATTTTATTTTATTTCTAAAGTGGAATAACTACTTTGATATAATCTTTACGAACCGTTCAAAAGGTAAAATACTACTAAACAAACATCTTTAATGCAATTACATGTGCATGTTGATGGTATACATTCGTTTTAGTTAACGGTCAGGTTTGTAAAGATTTGTAAGATGGTCTACCAGAAGGCACGGTTGTCTAGTGGTAGGGTTGCGGGTTCGAGCCGAAGGGTTGTGGGTTCGAGTCACGGCACGGCACGGCACGACACTGTGTTGTATCTTTGAGCTAGATACTTTAATCCGCTTGTTCTAGCTAGTCTTCTCAGCTGTAAATGAGTACGTGGTTGGGCAGTGCTAGAATTGTTGAATGCTAGCTGTGAGCGCCGAAATGGCAGCTCCGGCTGTATGCTCCCCAGGGAGTTGAGAAAGATATTGGTTGGTGACAAAGGCTCTATAACCATGGATAATAATTTGTGAACCGCTTTGAGACGACCTACGAACTAGGTTGTGATAAGGCGGTATATAAGAACCTCAAATCATTATTATTATTGTAGCCAAACATTGACACTATACCACAAACATCGTATAAAGTTGTAATTATGTATTCATGTATTCCATAGGTAACCTATACATTTCCATTTCACCACTCTTTCGATTTAAAATAAATCCAATTCAAAGTTCTAGAAACATTTTAAAGATTTCTGTGAGTTTACTCTAATTTAATCCTTGCAATATGAACATCATCGGAAATTAATTCATGATTGTTAACAAAAAATATCTTGATAAGAAAAGTGACTGAAAATGTAGTTTTGAATGACTCATGTATGCAGTTTTACAGAATTAAAAAAAAAAAAACGTTTTCTATGCTACTAAACAAAAACATGAACTTTCAACTATTTACTTATTTAAATGACAGAAATTTTAAATTAACTGTTAGGGTTGTCTTGCTTATCTCTCCCTTTTCGTAGCAGCTGCTATGACTAAAACATCCAATATTATTCTAAACAAAAACAAAAAATATTTCCTGACCCTACACCGATTATTATAAATCAAGTCAACACTATTTCAACTTGTTATCAATTGTATAAAATTATAGCAAATGGATAATTGTGTTCATCTATATTTACCTTGGTAAAATAATCCGGGAAAATGTGAAAGGAAAGTAAACCATACTACACTACCAACGGTTTACCCGTTTATACTTACATAATTACAATGTACTTACCTTTACAGGGTTGAGCCGATTATACTTATGTAACTACAATGTACTTTCTTTTTCTATGTTTAACCATTTATATTTATGTAATTACAATGTACTTACCTTTACTATGTTAACTCGTTTATATTTATGTAATTACAAAGTACTTACCTTTACTAGGTTAACTCGTTTATATGTATGTAAATACAATGCACTTACCTTTACAGGGTTTAGCCGATTATACTTATGTAACTACAATGTACTTACCTTTACTAGGTTTAACCATTTATTTTTATGTTATCACACTGTACTTACCTTGACTAGGTTTACTCGTTTATATTTATGTAATTACAATGTATTTACCTTTATTATGTTTACTCGTTTATATTTATGTAATTACAATGTACTTAGCTTTACAGGGTTTAGCCGATTATACTTATGTAACTACATTGTACTTACCTGTACTAGGTTTAACCATTTATATTTATGTAATAACAATGTACTTAGCTTTATTTGGTTTACTCGTTTATACTTACGTAACTACAATGAACTTACCTTTACTAGATTTAACCATTTATAATTATGTAAATACAATGCACTTACTTTTACTCGATTAAACTATTTATAATTATGGAATTACAATGTACTTACCTTTTCTAAGTTTAACCATTAATATTTATGTAATAACAATGTACTTACCTTTACTCGGTTAACTCGTTTATATTTATGTAATTACAATGTACATGTACTTACCTTTTCTATGTTTAACCATTTATATTTATGTAATTACAATTTACTTACCTTTGCTAGGTTTAAACAACTATATTAATGTAATCACAATGAACTTACCTTCACTAGGTTTATTCGTTTATATTTATGGAATTACAATTTACTTACCTTTACTAGATTTTACCATTTATAATTATGGAATTACAATGTACTTACCTTTTCTATGTTTAACCATTTATATTTATGTAACTACAATGAACTTTCCTTTACTTTGTTTAAACATTTATAATTATGGAATTGCATTTTACTTACCTTTACTATAACAATGGTACTTAACTTTACTAGGTTAACTCGTTTATATTTATGTAATTACAATGTACTTACCTTTCCATGTTTAACCATTTATATTTATGTAATTACAATTTACTTACTTTTTACCCTATTTATTTACCTTTACTAGATTTAACCATTAATATTTCTGTAATTACAATATACTTACCTTTACTAGGTTTATCCGTTTATAATTATGTAACTACAATGTGTTTACCTTAACTAGATTTAACCATTGATAATTATGGAATTGCAATTTACTTACCTTTACTAATTTTAACCATTAATATTTATGTAATAAGAATGTACTTACCTTTACTAGGTTAACTCGTTTATATTTATGTAATTACAACGTACTTACCTTTTCTATGTTTAACCATTTATATTTATGTAATTACAATTTACTTATCTTTACTAGATTTAAACAACTATACTTATGTAATTACAATGAACTAACCTTTACTAGGTTTACTCGTTTATATTTATGTTATTACAATGTACTTTCTTTTTCTATGTTTAACCATTTATATTTATGTAATTACAATGTACTTACCTTTACTAGGTTTACTAGTTTATATTTATGTAATTACAATGTGCTTACCTTAACTAGATTTAACCATTTATATTTATGTAATTGATAATTACCCTAGTCTTTACCTATACTGTATACGTGGCATACTGTATATCATTATATCATAATTGTTGTATGTTTATATACTCATTAAACACACGATCAGTACTCGGAGAGTAACATTATGTTTTATACCAGCATTCCTTGATCTGTATAATCACGATCACTCTAATTTATATATCTGTGCCCATCACTAATTAGGAGATGGTTTTACATAAGCTCGGAGCTTATTACCAAATCCTCTTCCATACTTTTGATATATTGTACTACTTTTTTCTTCAATAAATATTGTATAAACTAAATTAACATATTTGTTTGTTGTTGTTGATTATGTTTCGTTGATAAACTCCGTACCGTAGTCATCCCAGCAAAATACTTGTACCAAATTCCTATTCGATCTTTAAACAGACGAAGAGTAAACTAGAGAAAACCAAACAAAGTTTTCTAAATAAAAACTGATGAGTTCCCATGTTTTGATACTTACAGTGATAGTTGATTGTTTCATAATAAGAAATCACGAAAAACATGAACCGTCGAACAAATAGTTAATATACATGTAAAATCAACAACAACAAGTAATCCCCTTTTCCTGTGTGAGGACCTAAATCCAAACAAAACCAAATTTATTTTTATTTATTGAAGATTATGTTTAAGATCAAGACCTGGGTCAGTATTCATGAAAGTGTTCTCAATCTCAAGTATGGATATTGTGCTCAAACCCTATTTCTTGTTCCCGTTATACAGTTATTATTTTGTCAATGATTTGGAAAAAACGTGAAGAGTCTTAAAGCCGAACACTGTTTTCAATGTTTACATTTGACATTTTGATCATCTTACATGATTTAAAAAAGAAATAAAAAACATTGATTTGAGCACAGAATACGTGCTTGAGTATGAGAACGCTTTCATGAATATGGGACCTGGTAGTCTAAAGCCTGCTTATATATCCAAAGGGGTTTTTCTCAAAAATATCTTCAAAAGTTACAAGAATTGTTCTTAAATATGTATTTATAACAAAATTTTGGAATCCTGATAGCTGTTATTTTTTATTCATTCATTCATATTTATTTATTTATTTTTGTTTAAGATTAAAGTCTTTCATTGATTTCGTTATTATATATATGCTAATATATTCCGAGTAAGATGGCTCGTATGCAGAAACATAAATTACTGCAGTCCATGTCAATTAAGACATATGTAGTCAGTCCAGGTCCTTTGCGGTAATTTACAATGAGACGTTTTGTGTACACAGCTTTGTTTACACACAAACACACTTACAGCGACAAGCTTCATACACAATGATAACTATGTGCTTCTCTCAAGGCAAAGTGTGTGTATCTGTCGAATACTCTTGACCATCTGTGGGATCTACTTACTTTCTTACTTGGCTTCCTTCCGCTGTATACAGAAAAGTGTGTCAGCAATATTGATACAATATACCCCCTATATGTTAGACAGTTTACAATGAACTAACTGAAGAAAGTGCTTTTGAAGAGCGTGTCATTAGATTAAACAACAATGATATCGTCATGTTCATTGTCAAGTTACTGATATCAAGTATCACTCCTGAGGACATATTTCAGTTCTTCCGGTAAATTTTGATATTTTAGGAGTGAACAACTTAATACTAAGGACATGAAGTAAGGTACTTGATGTTTTGTGTATTGTGATCATGACAAAGCTATACAAATGCACTCGACTGAATAAGTGTCTATGTATATATAAGTATACGAAATACACGAGCAACACATCATATATGCTGTAGGTTTTAGTTTCTGAGAAACCTACGTAAGATTATATTTAAAAGTACGTAAGTTTATATTTAAAAGTACGGTAAGATTATATTCATTGTGAAAGCCATATATATCTATCATATATGCTGTGTTTAAACGTTAGTTATATTATATTTATTAAGAAATGAACACACACAACACATTATATAAGCCGAGGGGCCGCGGTGGCCAAGTGGTTAGGGCGTCTGACATTCTGCTTCCGCTAGCCCTCCATCACTGGGGCGCGGGTTCGATGCCTACGTGGGACAGTCGCCAGGCACTGGCCGTTGGTCGGTGGGTTTCCCCCAGGAACTCTGGCTTTCCTCCACCAACAACACTTGGCACGTCCTTAAATGAGCATAGCTGTTAGTAGGACGAAAATCACAAACAAACCATATCCACATGCCTTGTTTTTTGTGTTGTCGTTCCTCAGTTGTGGAGATTACCCCAAATGTTGCATGGCTTTTAAAGGACTTTGGTATATCTCGGCATGGCGTCAGAACCCATTGTCTTCTTAACCATTGCGAACATTCAAACTCAAGCAAAATATAAGGTGTTGCCAAGGAGGCGCTAGGAAACAAACAGTAGTTAGAAGTAAAGAGACCTATGAAGGTCCCAAATTTTGCAATGGGTTAAGCAGATTTATTATGCTTGCCTTGATAACCAAATAAAGGGCACAAAATCAAATTCTCGATTCTTCAGTAGGTTCCCACATCAGTAGCTCTTAAAATATGCATTGGGTAGGCCTAACAAAAGGTATATTCTTTTCTCAGTCCTCGACTCGCGGGGATGCAATAAAGATATGATAAAATATCACTACTGTAATTTAAGGTGTTTGGATAATGATTGGTTGTAGTTCGATAAAGACATGCGGGCGAAGACAGTTTTTATAGTGATAAATTGTTAACAGTTACAAACAGACAGTTATTAATGAATGAATTCTTTTTTCCATCACACAAATATTTTTAAATTGTTATTTTGAATTACAGATATTTTATTGTTTAATTACTCATCATATTTTCTTTTATGATCGTCAGATACATAGTCATGCAGAAAACAAAAATGAAAGAAAATCGTTTCATGCATAATAAAATTTCTAGCGGTAGCAGATGTCCTAAACTATTTTTGTGCGGATTATGAAAAGTTCTTGTGTCACAATCAATAAGAGCTTCTATGTGACGTTTCAATGACTAGTACGGTAAGCAAACTAATTCAAATTATTATATACCGTTACATTCATTGCAGGATTATCCGATACGTATGTTCAAACTTTAAATTTAACACATGAAAATGTTGTACAAATATGATTTTTCCCCTCTTGAAGATCATATATATCTAGAATAAATATTAATATATATAGAGAATAATATATAAATTGTCTAAAACGTTCGTGGAGCAGGTAGTAAAATCCCAATAAACTGCATATTATTATAAGAGTAATTCAATCATACAACACAATCGTATCTTACGTTTAGGTATATTGCGATTTAATAACTGTCATCGGGCACACTTTGGATACTTAAGACGACGCCTTCCTTCTACATCAATGTTTACACTATAAGAAAAATATAAACAACGATAATGCAGAGATATGGTATTTTATTTACATCGTTTTCAAATGCATCAAGGAAAACATATTCACAAAATCTACAACATGTAAGGTTCTGGTTGTTTTAAGCGTAATACAGTTTGGTTGTACAAGGTTTGACGTACTATCAACAGCTTAGGTCATTTAAGGGCGTGCCTCCAGTTTTCTTGTGTGTGTGTATGTGTGTATGTGTGTATATGTGTGTATGTGTGTATGTGTATATGTGTGTATGTGTGTATGTATGTATGTGTAAATGTGTGTAAGTGTAAATGTGTGTATGTGTGCTGGAGGCAAGGTATGTTGATGTTTGCTTCAGTGTTAAAACCCGGATCAAATATTTAAAAGAAATCTATTCAAACTTCCCTTTAGGTCAATGTCTTTAAACGAGGGATACGTGACCCAAATGATTTCTCATTTACAATAGCATTGTGGAATCTCGTTAAACCACATTTCTGTATATATATAGGAACAATCAATATTCTTTTGAATCTTTCATGAAAACATGTTTAAAAACAATAAATCTCCGACAGCATGGGCTAGGGAGACGATGCAAACAGTTATACTGCACAGAAAAAATTAATGTAAAATCAGATATTTTCGTTGGGCCGTCGTGTCGTAATTTCCCAAAAAAATCATCATTTCGTGGGTACATGCATTCGTGGATTACGAGAACCCAATCATACGGCGAATGGCTTTATGTCAAACTTGTCGTCAATATTGTGTGGACCTATGAATTCGTGGATGAAGATTACCCACGAATCAACGAAATTAACACCCCACGAAAGTTAGTGAATTAACATTTTGCGGATTATAATTTGTAGTTATGAATATTATACTATCATCATCGGTCTAACATGTATTAAAACGACATGTTATGAAATACTAACATAAGAATACCATAATAAATGTGCGAAAAGGCTTGATATTGCGTTCCTAATCTCGACGATTAAGCAGCCAAGAATAATAAAGCTACACGGTGGTCAACATGTTTACTTACAGGCTCAATAACAAACAAAAAAGCACAATATTGGCAGTATATCATTTGTAAAGAAATAGGTAGCCACATTCAAAATAGTATTTAATGCTTAGATTCCATGAAAGATTTTAAGCGCCAAATTAACGAATATATGATTTGTTTGTTTGTGTTTACGTCCTATCAACGTCATTAAAGTACGTGTAAGGTTTTGGTGGTGGAGAAAAGCCGGCGTACCCGGAGAAAATTCGCCGACCTGCGGCCAGTACCTGGCGACTGCCCCATGTAGGCATCGAACCAACGACCTAGTGGTGGAGAGCTAATTATCGTAGAAAGTCAGTCGCCTTAACCACTTGACCATCACGTGAACATATGAATGAAATGATTGACACATAAAGTTTACATATTTACGTCGTTATTACCCTAAACAGGAATAAAGGCTTCTAGAGTGAAATCCTTGACAGTTGTAGCAGACACCTCGAAATGTGCTACCGGTTTGATTTTGTGTTATCAGTGTCAACGTCATATCAACAGCTTAGATCATTTAATGACGCGCATCCATGTGTATTCCCTTCTGCTTTGTTGGTATCTCCATGTGTTAGCTGGAGTTAGAGTATTTCCGCCAACTCGAAAATGTCATAACAAATCATAGTATTTTCAGTAACCTTGTTGACACATTAATTAGGTCACATTGCATTAAACAAAATGACATATACATATCCAGAGGAATATACCATCATACACATGTTCCGACATGCACATTTGGAATGCTACAACAATTTGGATTGTTGCCACCTGCTCGGTTAGTTATTTTCTACAACAGCTGTATAGGAAGAAATTTGACAAATATTTTGTCAGTGTAACAAGTCAAGTCTGATCAGCTTGTTCAAACCTTAAATCATTCCGTTCAACGGGTAAATGCATACTTCTTCTTACAGAATGTACTCTTGAAGATTTTGATGGTTTCGTTTCGGAATTGTTCACTGAGGAAGCTGTAGATAACTGGATTTAAAGCGCTACTCAGCAGATAGGTCCTGAGGAAGATCTGAAAGCATGCCTTACCGCCTTTGGTCAGCGTTTCATAGTAGTTGGGCTGGATATAGCGAATGATGACTATCACACAGTAGGGAATGAATGAGACCATGAAGAGGAGAGTAACGAGGAAAAGCATCAATGTTGTCTTGTACATCTGGGCACGTCTACTCTCAATGCTCTGTGTTGACATCGATCGCTGTTTTTTGAATTGAGATCTCTTGAATGACGCTGATGGCTTCGAATTTATACTTGAACCTCCCGTTGAACGAGATGTACTTCCATTGACATTTCTGGTATGTGTTTTCCCTTCTGCTTTGTTGATATCGCCATTGACCTCTGAAGATGCCAGAGAGGCCTGACGAGCAAGGACGATTGGCGTGGCTTTGTAAGGACTGTCGGTTGATTCTAAAACGTCATGGTCAGTTGCAGTTGACGAGATGCTATTTTCGCGACCCTTCGACAAACAGCCGTCATTGAACTGTCCTCTGCGGATAACCTGAACTGCTATACATATATAGCAGAAGATGAGAATAAAGTCAATCAGGATATTACCAGCCAGCAGGAAACTGGTGAAGATCAGTGGCAGATTTGAGGTTGTGTACCCGTCTTCAATCAGACAGAGGTGCATCTTGATGCAAATGTTTGGAAATGAAGTTTTCATGATTCGTGTTTGCGTTCCATACAACACTGCTGCTGGGAAGGCCGCCACAATTGCCATGACTACGGCTACTGCAACGGCTATCTTGGCATGAATATTGGTCATTGCCGGTTTTAGAGGACGACATATCCTCATGTACCTATCAATTGCTATAACTAGCAGAGTGAAGGACGAGGAGTTGTTCATCAGGAAAGTGAACATCCGTGCAAATTTGCAACGTGACGGATGATTAAATTGTACAGCGTTCAATATGATTTCGATTTCAAACGCCATGGAAACACAATTACAAAGGTCAAACGCCGCTAACGCCATGATAAATAACCGGGACGTTGTTTTACGCCATCTTCGCCAATAAACGTAGAAAACGACCAGGTTTCCAGGGACGCCGATCACAAACATCATAATTGTGAACACCAAGGATGGCATTAGAATCTCGTCAACGACTTTATCGTTGATGCTGTTTAGTACTTTGTCAGGGACAAATATGAGGCATGTACTTGGATCCGGCGTTGGCCTTGCGGTAGTCACATTTAAGTCCATCGTTGAGTTCCATGTAGGCAGCTTCGCGTTCATTGCAGTCGAAATATAACTTTCCGTTGTCATAGCATCGCCTGTAATCCAAAGTGACGATGTATCTCCAAGCGTTGAGGTCAAAGTGGAATTCATTGGGAGTGTTACGTTCTCCGTTGGCGGTGTTGTGATATTTGCAAGACTGTCCATCTGCAAGAATAAAATAAAATGAAAATTATAACCATTGCCGTCTAATAGGTGTTATGATACAGATAGTAACTGACGTCATCTATAGAGCACACACATGTTTTTGAATTAACTAATTTCATTGATAAAACATGAGGCCACTGTTAATGTACATTCCCGGTAAATATTCCCCATGTGTGACTATATTTTGAGAAGCGAATGTTGTTCTGCAAGAGACTGTTGTAGGGTCGTATGCACAATATTGTAGAGGCAGAAATCATGTAGTAGTGAATTGTTTTTAACGTAAATGCATATGTACATGCAGTACCCCATAACGTATAAGATTTGTATACATTAGATTAAATATATGCATTTTCGCGTACGTTCACACCAAGCAGCGGTTGTTAATTCCAATCGAACTATAAGTCATACATATAACTGAATGATACATCCCTATAAGAAATTACGGAAGAGCCACTTCTGGAAACTAAGTATATGATCTACAGTAATCATGTAAGTGCATTGAGTACATACTGTTATTCAAACATTGTATGCCAATTCAAATTTTCGCCTTTTACCGATAAAATCAATGCTCGCCAAGTGCATATTTCGCCCTTTACGCTACAATTGCAATTGTTGCTGTAGTATGTACTAATTTTTGCAATCATGATAGATTCGTCCTCATTACAAAGAGGGCAAAAGTTCAGCTGAGGTAAACATTTGATTCTCTACAGCACTAGTTATTTAATATTGAACCAAAAATGCGTTATTGTCTCCAATTAAATCCGAGTAGCTCTATTATCATGAACCCATTCCTTGAATGACTCGATGCTATACGGCTGAATTTATTACCAACCGAACCAATTTACAGTAAAGTCACCAGTTGTTGTTGCATTCAGTTACGAGTCAGAATGAATAATAGGAATATACTACAAATTTAACGACAGATCTTTTTTTTTATGTCGAATAACATTATTCACTTAACACGTTGACAATAATTTAGTTATTACTTCAACAGTTTGTTTTGAGTTAAATGCCTTCGCCACAGGCGGGGTAATATGAAACGGGACCCTAGGTGGAAAAAGACAGAAATGAAACAAAAAAGATCTCTAGTATTGCAATATCGGCAGCAGATCAACTTTTATCTCTTCCGTGACCTCTTTACATAAGATTCTAAATAATAGGAGTAATTCATATAACGGAATCATACAAGTTGAATATAGGTTAAACTATGTAAGATAAAGCTGTCTTAAAAATGTTGTTATCAGCACTCATGCAGAAGGAATTCTAAACAAACAAAAAATCTTTTAAATTACCAATGTGATGGCATCCTCGATAATCCAAGGGTTACGCTCTCTTTCGCGCTCTGCACCCATGAACTATGTCATAGCAAATGTGAAGGCTCAGTGTGCGCCACCTTGCTGATGAGACAAGAAGACTAGTTCGAGTCTTTTATGTACACCGAAAGAATCTCGCGGTCGAGTAACGGTAAAATTGACTGACTTTGATGTCGGGTGTCACTCCTATGTACTCTTCAAAGAATATATATCAGCCTAGCGATTGATCAGGTGGTTTTACCTGAGACCATCAAACTATCTTTGTGTCTTCAGTTTTGCTTTGACATATTTAAGGAGTGCAGAAAGGAAAATTGAGCGGAACTCCTGGAGTATCGAGGATGGTTCGATGGCTATGAATTCAGTTGCTATAAAAGTGTATATTTTTACATTATATATGTGTAAAAATATTATATCGATCTAGATATCATGATAATAAATACACAGAAATAATTATGCAGTTAAAAACAGCCTTGGAATAAATTATGTATATCCTGCAGGCGACAATTATAAGCTGATGACAAAATAAAGAGTTTTGTAGTATGAAAATATATCTTACCTTGTCGGTTATTTTACGACGCTGTATACGCAGCGAGAGTGGACGTCTGCCGGCATCAGTATCAGACTGTCTATCCAAGGGTTGACCTGGTGACGTAGCTGACCACACACATACGTTATTGGCTGTGACACGGCTGGTTTACTGCAAGCAGATTTAATTGTTTATTTCCTTATAATGATGAAAATGTCGTCAGCTAAGGGGATGACGATGTTTTGTGTATTAGATATGACAGCTCAAGTGTCCAATAGAAAGCAAGAGGGGATAGGTAAAACAGAACAGGAGTTGGGACGGGGATAAGGCAGTAATGTTTTGTGATATTACTTTATTATGCATAAGCTTTAATATCTCGTGTACCTTGGCAGATAGGAGTGGAAGATGAAAAGATGACAGAAAGATTACGCAGTTATAATTGTTGATTTCCTTTTTTGCTGAAAATGCCGTCATTAAGCTAGAGAGGATTACATTGCATTGTTATCACTAGCTCTTATATTCACAATGAGAGGAGATGCAAAAAAAAAACAAGTTGGGTGTAAGGCAGTTGATTTGTTGTAGTATTAATCTTTTATATACAAATGATATGGGCAATGATATTTCGTGTAACCAAGGAACGCAATCAAACGAATGGTCGATAAAAAAATGGGAATGGTTCAGTAAATAGATATATATTCACTCAAGCAGGTCGGGGATTGCGAAAACAATAAACCTGCTGTAAACCACTGTTACACACCGTTTGTTGTCAGAGGCGACTTATGGAAACTCTTGCAGAATAAGGATTCGCTTTTGTCCCTTCTGCTTAAAATACACAAACAAGACCATAATAGAAATGCTGTTCCCATTCTAGCAGTTAGTATTTTATACGTTTATCTACTTCCAATAATATTTCGTTATCTAGTGTATTGATTGGCAATGGATTCTTTCCCCTGGCCGGGACATACTAAAGTCCTTCAAATGGTAGTTATTACCTGCTTAACGTTCAGCGTTTAAGGTAAAGACATTCACTGGTTAGCCCGTCCTCAGTATAATGTGACCGGGTGGAACGCTGGTGCCGGGTTCCTTCGGCATGGTAATTCAGTGAAATAGCACTGTAAAGTCGGCAACAGATCCCCGCTCTCACAAGGAGACAAATGAACCAACATACCATGCCTCCATCACATGCACAAACGTAAACACAACAAACATGGAGGCACGTCCTGAAATAACTTGAGCTGTTGATAGGACGTAAAACCAAATAAAATAAAAACCAAACCACGACCCATATCCAGCCAGATGCTAAAGCAATTAACACATGACATTGATCCATTGGCTTAGCTGTTGATAGGAGTTAAACCCCTTACAACCATTCCACATGTAATTGCAGTCAGACCACAAACCATATATTACCAGGTACTGTAGCGATTACCAAAGGCGATTTTCCTGTCTTTAATGTCAGTTTGTATGTGAGTTTATGTTGACGAAATCGGGTTTCAAAGGATTACACTGTACGTAGGAATTCATTTCGGGAAGGTTATACAGTCGAACCCCGTTATCTCGAACTCGTTTAACTCGAAGACCCCGTTTAACTCGAAGTGTTTCATCGGTCCCGGCCTAAACTGTTCTTAATCTTAGTAATAAAAACTCTGATAGTTCGAACTCTGAAAACTCGAATAACTCGGATATCTCGAAGTGAAATATCGGTCCCAACAACGTAAATCCTACATAAAAATATCGCTTACCTCGAAGTTTCTTAAGATTCACAAGTCGATCATATATTCTTTAATTATTTGATACATATTAGACGCAGTGCTACGGTAAACATCGTTCTCATAGAGCAGCTTACGCTCGGTCATAATTACTTCGATTAAACTTATTGTATTAAAATGTGTTTGACTGTAAAAACACTTTGTTCAAATAAAGAAACAGACTTCATCAATGTAGATTAACAACAATTAGTACTCACTGCGAGCCCGTAAACAATTTGAATGGCATATTATTTACACCAAAGCTGCCGACACATTCTAACCGGTAAATGGGTCACTGTGTGCGGTCATGCGTAAATAAGCTCCACAGTAAAAATCACAACCTAGGACTGGTTCGTCGATTTATGTTTTTACAGGAGCTTGTATGGCAGTGACACTGATAATTAATTGAGGGATTATAGGAACAATACGATAATTATTATTGAGTACGTCGTGTTGAGGAGATGTCAAGTGTCATTGGGGTCTATAAATGTTGATATGTTTCCTGATTAACTCATACCCATTTCGGAATGTCGAAATCAACTGAGCAATCCAACGAAGGACCCGGCTCCACCGGGGGGATACTTGGATCAGTTGAAAGGGTGAAAACC